TATGGGATGGGATGGGTGGGATGGGATGGGATGGGATGGGATGGGATGGGGTGGGATGGGATGGGGACGGCGGGGCCGGGCCCGGGGATGGGATCGGGATGCGGGACCTGGATGTGGAGGTGGGATGGGGTCGGGATATGGATGGCAGGTTTGGGATGGAGATTTGGGATTTGGCTGCAGGGGCCGGGATGGGGTCGGGATGGAGATGCCGGGTTTGGGATGGAGATGGCAGGTTCGGGATGCGGATTTGGGATTCGGGATACGGATGCCGGGTTTGGGAAGGGGATGCCCGGGCCGGGGATGGGATCGGGATGCGGATGCCGGAGGTTGGATGGGACCGGGATGGCGATGCCGGGTTTGGGATGCAGATTCGGGATTCGGGATTTGCCTGCAGGGGCCGGGGATAGGATTGGGATGGAGATGCCGGGTTAGGGATGGCGATGCTGGATTTGGGATGCGGATTTGGGATTCGGGATGCGGCTGCCGAGGCAGGGATGGGATGGGGATGGGGATGCCGGGGCCGGGATGGGATGGGGATGCGGATGCCGGGTTTGGGATGCGGATTTGGGATTCGGGATGCGGCTGCCGGGGCCGGGATGGGTTTGGGATGCAGATTTGGGATTCGGGATGCGGCTGCCGGGGCCGGGATGGGGTCGGGATGCGGATGCCGGGGTCGGGATGCGGGTCTGGGATTCGGGATGCGGTACCGGCGGCGGGCCGGGGGTTCCGGGGGGTTCCGGGGGGGCTCGGGCCCTGCTCCTACCTGGGCTCCGAGCGGGGAGGGGCGTGGCCTGGGCGCGAGCGGCCAATGGGAGCGCGCGGGGGGCGGGGCCGCGGCGGGGTGATGTCATCGGGCGGGGGCGGGGGCGGCCGCGCATGCGCGTTGCCATGGAGACGGCCCCGCCCCCTCCGTTGCCATGGGGATGGACCATTTCCCATCCCCCCCGTGCGTCGCCATGGCAACGGGATCGCTCCCCCCCCCTTCCCCCGTGCGAGGATGGAGCGCGTCGCCATGGAAACCGGGCCGCGTTGCCATGGAGACGGCATGGCCGCCCCTTCAGGGCGGTCACCATGGCGACCGAGCATCAGCCAGCCCCGTTGCCATGGAGACGGAACGCCCCTCCCGTGCCCTGCGCGTTGCCATGGAAACCGCCCCCGTTGCCATGGAGACGGACCCACACCCCCCCATCCAGCCCCGTTGCCATGGAGACGAGATCCCCTCCCGTCCCGTTGCCATGGAAACCGACCCATTCCCATCCCGTTGCCATGGCGACAGCGCACACACACACACACACACACACACCCGTTGCCATGGTTACCGACCCCCGTTTCCTCTTTTCCCCACCCAAAAAAGGCACCTGGGCCCCTCCCCCCAGCCCGGGGACGGTCACGTGACTCTCAGGTGACACAGGTGACACTCAGGTGACACAGGTGACAGAGGTGACCCCCCACAGGTGACACAGGTGACACAGGTGACACACAGGTGACAGGTGATACTCAGGTGACACTGAGGTGACACACAGGTGACAGAGGTGACACTCAGGTGACACACGTGACACACAGGTGACACAGGTGACCCCCCCACAGGTGACACAAGTGACACTGAGGTGACACAGGTGACACAGGTGACACAGGTAACCCCCCCATAGGTGACATTGGGGGGTCCTGGGAGGGGTCCCAGGGGGTCCCAGAAGGTTCTGGGGGTTCCCAAGGGGTCCAGGGGGGTCTTTGGGGGGGGTCCCATCCCAGGGGGGTCCCAGAGGGTCCTGGGGGCTTCCAGGTGATTTTGGGGAGTCCTGGGGGGATCCCAGGGGGTCCCGGGGGGGCCCAGGGGACTTTGGGGGCTCGCAGGGGGTCCCAGGGGGGTCCCGGGGGGTCCCAGGTGAGTTTGGGGGGTCCTGGGGGGTTCTACCCCCTCGATTCCAGCGACCTGTGGGGTGAAATTGGGGAGGGGTCAGCGGGGTCAGGGGAACTCGGGGTGAAATTTGGGGGCGGTTCAGGATTTTGGGATTTGGGATTTGGAAATTCAGGGATTTAGGATTCAGGGATTGGGGGATTTGGGGTTTGGGGACTCAGGAATTTTGGGATTTTGGGTTTGGCACAGGTGACACAGGTGACACAGGTGACACACAGGTGACAGAGGTGACAGAGGTGACACACAGGTGACACTCAGGTGACACTGAGGTGACACACAGGTGACAGAGGTGACACTCAGGTGACACACGTGACACACAGGACACACAGGTGACACAGGTGACCCCCCCACAGGTGACACAAGTGACACTGAGGTGACACAGGTGACACAGGTGACACAGGTAACCCCCCCATAGGTGACAGAGGTGACACAGGTGACAGAGGTGACACAGGTGACACTCAGGTGACACAGGTGACCCACCTGGGCCACACCTTTAAATAGCAGCCAATAAATACTGTACAGAATGTGCCAAATATACACATTCCAGCGACCTGTGGGGTGAAATTGGGGAGGGGTCAGCGGGGTCAGGGGAACTCGGGGTGAAATTTGGGGGCGGTTCAGGATTTTGGGATTTGGGATTTGGAAATTCAGGGATTTAGGATTCAGGGATTGGGGGATTTGGGGTTTGGGGACTCAGGAATTTTGGGATTTTGGGTTTGGGGACTCAGGAATTTGGGATTTTGGGTTTGGGAACTCAGGGATTTGGGGGTTTGGGGACTCGGGGTTTTGGGGTTTGAGGAGTCAGGGATTTGAGGATTTGGGGACTCAGGGATTTTGGGATTTAGGGATTTTGGGATTTAGGGACTCAGGGATTTTGGGTTTGGGGTTAGAGGACTCAGGAATTTGGAGTTTGAGGAGTCAGGGATTTGGGGATTTGGGGGTTTGGGGACTTGGGGTTTTGGGGATTTAGAGACTCAGGGATTTTGGGTTTGGGGACTCAGGGATTTGGGGACTCAGGGATTTTGGGATTTAGGGATTTTGGAGTTTGGGGACTCAGGGATTTTGGGACTCAGGGATTTTGGGACTCAGGGATTTTGGGATTTAGGGATTTTGGAGTTTGGGGTTTGGGGTTAGAGGACTCAGGAATTTGGGGTTTGAGGAGTCAGGGATTTGGAGATTTGGGGTTTGTGGACTCGGGGATTTTGGGGTTTGGGGACTCAGGAATTTGGGGTTTGGGGTTAGAGGACTCAGGAATTTGGGGTTTGAGGAGTCAGGGATTTGGAGATTTGAGGTTTGTGGACTCAGGGATTCAGGGATTTTGGGTTTGGGGACTCAGGGATTTTGGGGTTGGGGACTCAGGGATTTTGGGGATTTAGGGACTCAGGGATTTTGGGGTTGGGGACTCAGGGATTTGGGGTTTTGGGGACTCAGGGATTTGGGGGTTTGGGGACTCAGGGATTTTGGGCTTTGGGGACTCGGGGATTTGGGGGTTCGGGATTTGGGAGCACAGGGATTGGGGGTCTGGGGCCGGGGCGCTCACGAGTAGCTGTTGTGCTGCCGGCGCCGCGCCGTGCGGAGCTTCTCGAAGCGCGCCTCCATCTCCTCGAGCACGCGCGGCGTGTAACGCACCACGAGCTTCACCGAGCCCTGCGCCGCCTTCAGCAGCTCCACCGCGCGCTCGTGCTGCTCCCCCTCCACGCTCTGCGCCCCAAAACCCGCCATGGAGCCCCAAAAAACACCCCAAAACTGCCCTGGTCCCAGAAACCTAACCAGAACCCCAAAAACCCAACCAAAAACTGGCCTGAACCCAAAACCCAACCAGAACCCCAAAAACCCAACCAAAACCTGACCCAGTCCCAAAAACCCAACCAGAACCCCAAAAACCCACCAAACATCTGACCCGACCCCAAAAACCCAACCAGAGTCCCAAAAACCCAAGCAAAAACTGCCCAGAACCCCAAAAACCCAACCAAAAACGACCCCGGTCCGAAAAACCCAACCAGAACCCCAAAAACCCAACCAAAACCTGACCTGATCCCAAAAACCCAACCAGAACCCCAAAAACCCAACCAAAACCCCAAAAACCCAACCAAAAACTGCCCCAACCCCAAAAACCCAACCAGAACCCCCAAAACCCAACCAAAACCTGACCTGATCCCAAAAACCCAACCAGAACCCCAAAAACCCAACCAAAATCTGACCCGACCCCAAAAACCCAACCAAAAACCTGCCCGAACCCAAAAACCCAACCAGAGTCCCAAAAACCCAACCAAAAACTGCCCCAACCCCAAAAAACCAACCAGAACCCCCAAAACCCAACCAAAATCTGACCCGACCACAAAAACCCAACCAAAACCCCCAAAACGCAACCAAAATCGACCCCGAACGCCAAAACCCAACCAGAACCCCAAAATCCCTTCAGCAGCTCCACCGCGCGCTCGTGCTGCTCCCCCTCCACGCTCTGCGCCCCAAAACCCGCCATGGAGCCCCAAAAAACACCCCAAAACTGCCCCGGACCCAAAAACCCAAATCCCTTCAGCAGCTCCACCGCGCGCTCGTGCTGCTCCCCCTCCACGCTCTGCGCCCCAAAACCCGCCATGGAGCCCCAAAAAACACCCCAAAACTGCCCTGGTCCCAGAAACCTAACCAGAACCCCAAAAACCCAACCAAAAACGACCCCGGCCCGAAAAACCCAACCAGAACCCCAAAAACCCACCCAAAATCTGACCCGACCCCAAAAACCCAACCAGAGTCCCAAAAACCCAAGCAAAAACTGCCCAGAACCCCAAAAACCCAACCAAAAACGACCCCGGTCCGAAAAACCCAACCAGAACCCCAAAAACCCAACCAAAACCCCAAAAACCCAACCAAAAACTGCCCCAACCCCAAAAACCCAACCAGAACCCCCAAAACCCAACCAAAACCTGACCTGATCCCAAAAACCCAACCAGAACCCCAAAAACCCAACCAAAACCCCAAAAACCCAACCAAAAACTGCCCCAACCCCAAAAACCCAACCAGAACCCCCAAAACCCAACCAAAATCTGACCCGACCACAAAAACCCAACCAAAACCCCCAAAACCCAACCAAAATCGACCCCGAACGCCAAAACCCAACCAGAACCCCAAAATCCCTTCAGCAGCTCCACCGCGCGCTCGTGCTGCTCCCCCTCCACGCTCTGCGCCCCAAAACCCGCCATGGAGCCCCAAAAAACACCCCAAAACTGCCCAGAACCCAAAAACCCAACCAGAACCCCAAAAACCCAAGCCAATTCTTCCTCCTCCTCTTCCTCTTCTTCCCCCTCTTTTTAGGGAGCTAAAAAAAATCTGCAGCATCCATCAGCAACCAAAATCTGACCCGAACCCAAAAACCCAACCAGAGTCCCAAAAACCCAACCAAAAATGCCCCCGGTCTGAAAAACCCAACCAGAGTCCCAAAAACCCAACCAAAACCCCAAAAACCCAACCAAAAACTGCCCCAACCCCAAAAACCCAACGAGAACCCCAAAAACCCAACCAAAATCTGACCCGAACCCCAAAACCCAACCAGAACCCCAAAAACCCAACCAAAATCTGACCTGATCCCAAAAACCCAACCAGAACCCCGAAAACCCAACCAAAATCTGACCCGAACCCCAAAACCCAACCAGAACCCCCAAAACCCACCCAAAAACTGCCCCGATCCCCCAACCAGAACCCCAAAAACCCACCCAAAATCTGACCCGACCCCAAAAACCCAACCAGAGTCCCAAAAACCCAAGCAAAAACTGCCCAGAACCCCAAAAACCCAACCAAAAACTGCCCCAACCCCAAAAACCCAACCAGAACCCCCAAAACCCAACCAAAACCTGACCTGATCCCAAAAACCCAACCAGAACCCCAAAAACCCAACCAAAATCTGACCCGACCCCAAAAACCCAACCAAAAACCTGCCCGAACCCAAAAACCCAACCAGAGTCCCAAAAACCCAACCAAAAACTGCCCCAACCCCAAAAAACCAACCAGAACCCCCAAAACCCAACCAAAATCTGACCCGACCACAAAAACCCAACCAAAACCCCCAAAACCCAACCAAAATCGACCCCGAACGCCAAAACCCAACCAGAACCCCCAAAACCCAACCAAAATCTGACCCGAACCCAAAAACCCAACCAGAGTCCCAAAACCCCAACCAAAAATGACCCCGGTCTGAAAAACCCAACCAGAGTCCCAAAACCCCAACCAAAAATGACCCCGGTCTGAAAAACCCAACCAGAGTCCCAAAACCCCAACCAAAAATGACCCCGGTCTGAAAAACCCAACCAGAGTCCCAAAACCCCAACCAAAAATGACCCCGGTCTGAAAAACCCAACCAGAGTCCCAAAACCCCAACCAAAAATGACCCCGGTCTGAAAAACCCAACCAGAGTCCCAAAACCCCAACCAAAAATGACCCCGGTCTGAAAAACCCAACCAGAGTCCCAAAAACCCAACCAAAAATGACCCCGGTCTGAAAAACCCAACCAGAGTCCCAAAAACCCAACCAAAACCCCAAAAACCCAACCAGAACCCCCAAAACCCACCCAAAAACTGCCCCGATCCCAAAAACCTGTCGGAAACCCCAAAACCCACCCAAACCCGCCCCAACCCTAAAATCACCCCTAAAACCCCCAATTTACCCACCCCAAATCCCAATTTAAGTACCCCAAACCCAAATTTACCCGCTCCAAACCCCCCAAACCCCAACTGAACTGCTCCAAACCCCCCAAAATCCCAGTTAAACCACCCAAAAACCCCAAAATCCCGGGAATTGCCCCAATCCTCACCACGCCATTGACGCTGAGCAGCTGGTCCCCCCAAATTCCACCCAAACCCCCCAAAACCACCCCAAAACCCCAAAATACCTACTCCAAACCCCAATTCATGCACCCAAAACCCCAATTTAACTGCCCAAAAACCCCAAAATCCCGGGAATTGCCCCCATCCTCACCACGCCGTTGACGCTGAGCAGCTGGTCCCCCCGCTTGAGCCCCCCGTGGCGGTCGGCCACCCCGAATCCCACCCAAACCCCCCAAAACCACCCCAAAACCCCAACTTAACCACTCCAAACCCCAATTTACCCACTCCAAACCCCCCAAAATCCCAATTTATCCACCCAAAAACCCCAAAATCCCGGGAATTGCCCCCATCCTCACCACCCCGTTGACGCTGAGCAGCTGGTCCCCCCGCTTGAGCCCCCCGTGGCGGTCGGCCACCCCGAATCCCACCCAAACCCCCCAAAACCACCCCAAAACCCCCACTTAACCACTCCAAACCCCAATTTACCCACTCCAAACCCCCCAAAATCCCAATTTATCCACCCAAAAACCCCAAAAGCCCGGGAATTGCCCCCATCCTCACCACCCCGTTGACGCTGAGCAGCTGGTCCCCCCGCTTGAGCCCCCCGTGGCGGTCGGCCACGCCGCCCGGGATGACGCGCGAGATGTAGATGGGCGAGTTCTGCTCCTTGCCCCCCATGATGTTGAAGCCCAAACCCTCCTCGGTCTTGGGCAGCTCCACCACCCGCGGGTGGGCGTGGCCCTCGCTGGCCGCGAAGGCCGCCACCGTGACTGGGGACGTTGGGGACGTTGGGGACATTGGGGATATTGGGGATATTTGGGACATTGGGGGGATTGGGGACACTGGGGACATCGGGGATGTGGGGGCATTGGAGACGTTGGGGACACTGGGGATATTTGGGACATTGGGGACATTGAGGGCATATGAGGACATTGAGGTGTTTTGGGGTCTGGGGTGACTTTTGGAGTCCTGGGAGTGTTTTTAGGTTTCCCAGGGGTGTTTTTGGGGTCCCTGGTGATGTTTTTGGGGTCCCAGGGTGTTTTTGGGGTCCCAGGGGGGTTTTTGGGGTCCCAGGGGGGTTTTTGGGGTCCCGTGCTGTTTTTGGGGTACCTTGGCCGTGGCGTGGGCGCGGATTTCGGGGCTCCCTGCGATGTCCAAGGTGTCGTAGAGCTGCTCGTAGACCTGGGGGGACCCCGGGGTTGGGGGGACCCCAAAACCCCCGGGCAGCCCCCCCGGACCCCCCAATGGGCAGCTGCAGAGATTTGGGGGGGCTCCGGGAGGAAACTGGGGGGACCCGGAGGATTTTGGGGTTCCCACGGTGATTTCTGGAGTTCCCAGGTCGGTTTTGGGGTTTCCTGGGTGATTTTGGGGGTTCCCAGGATGCTTTTTGGGGTTCCCAGGGTGATTTTTGGAGTTCCCAGGGTGATTTTTGGGGTTCCTGGGGTGGTTTTGGGTTTCCCAGGGTGATTTTTGGGGTTCCCAGGTCGGTTTTGGGGTTCCTGGAGTGGTTTTGGGGTGATTTTGGGGTTTTTGGGTTGGTTTTGGGGAGGATTTGATGGTTTTGGGGTGATTTGGGGGGCTTTGGGGTGGATTTGGGGGTTTGGGGGGGATTTGGGGTGGTTTTGGGGTGAATTTGGGGGTTTCTGGGTGGGTTTTGAGGCAGATTTGGGGTGGATTTGGGGTTTTAGGTTGGTTTTGGGGTTCCTGGAGTGGTTTTGGGGTGATTTTGGGGTTTTTGGGTTGGTTTTGGGGTGGATTTGATGGTTTTGGGGTGATTTGGGGGGTTTTGGGATGGATTTGGGGGTTTTAGGTTGGTTTTGGGGTGGATTTGGGATCTCTGGGGTGAATTAGGGGTGGATTTGGGGTTTTGGGGTGGTTTTGGAGTGGATTTGGGGGTTTTAGGTTGGTTTTGGGGCAGTTTTGGGGTGGATTTGGGGGTTCTGGGGCTGTTTTCGGGTGGATTTGGGGTGGTTTTGGGGCGGATTTGGGGTTTCTGGGGTGGATTTGGGGTTTCTGGCTGGGTTTTGGGGCATATTTGGGGTTTCTGGGCGGTTTTGGGGTGGTTTTGGGGTGGATTTGGGGGTTTCTGGCTGGGTTTTGGGGCGGATCTGGGGGTTCTGGGGCAGTTTGGGGCAGTTTTGGGGTGGATTTGGGGCGGATTTGGGGCGGATTTGGGGCGGATTTGGGGCGGATTTGGGGCGGATTTGGGGCGGATTTGGGGCGGATTTGGGGCGGATTTGGGGCGGATTTGGGGCGGATTTGGGGCGGATTTGGGGCGGATTTGGGGCGGATTTGGGGCGGATTTGGGGCGGATTTGGGGCGGATTTGGGGCGGATTTGGGGCGGATTTGGGGCGGATTTGGGGCGGATTTGGGGCGGATTTGGGGCGGATTTGGGGCGGATTTGGGGCGGATTTGGGGCGGATTTGGGGCGGATTTGGGGCGGATTTGGGGCGGATTTGGGGCGGATTTGGGGCGGATTTGGGGCGGATTTGGGGCGGATTTGGGGCGGATTTGGGGCGGATTTGGGGCGGATTTGGGGCGGATTTGGGGCGGATTTGGGGCGGATTTGGGGCGGATTTGGGGTTTATGTCTTGGAATTCCCGTGATTTTGCCCAAACCCCCGGGATTTTGGGGTTATTTTCGGGTATTTTCGGGGATTTTTTGGGGGTTTTTTCTATTTTTGGAAGTGGTGCAGCGGGGAGTGCTTC